CCGCCCCTCCCGAAGCCTTAACGCCTCTCCTGCCCCCTCGCCTCTTCTCCACCCCCGCGCATACGCTGTCGCACAGTGGTTCGGACTAGACGCACGGTTGCAACCATTCATTAAGTCAACACTTTATTTCATGTGAACCCGACTCCATCCATAGACATATTTTTGATTCCCATGACGCGGGCTTCACCTTCAAACTCTGGAATCCACGAAGTCTTTACATGATATTCAGAATCTGTGCCCGCCATAAACTCTGTTTTGGTCTTGAACATTAAGTAAAATAATATAGTCGGAAAATAAATTTAGAATATTGAATTAGTATCCTCGGAAGTTGCTGTGCAACTATCACATGGGGAGAAAATGTATGAGAATGGGGAACCATAACTTCCGACACACAAATAACTTACCCAGGATGTATTATACGATAATAGGTGTGACATGAAGGAACTGGGAAATATTGAGGAAAGTTTCAAGCTATTAGAGACAAGGAAATGAGTGACTGGGAATATAATATGAAATTATTTAGGTACTGCTGACACACACACACACACACCAACGAATACATTATCAATGGGACCGTATTTCAGTAATTTTAATTTTGGGAATAATTAAATGTGTTTCTTCACCATTTAAGACGTTTTTTTAAAATGTTCATTATCCTCTTCTTAAATATCACCGTGAAAATTCTAAAGTTAGTTGAAACGTTCTAATCTAAATCGGCATCTGTTTATGACGTTGTCTGTTCCATTTCGTAAGTTTCTTGTTACCATGCCTGCGATGAAAAATCCTTTTTCGAAAATTTCAACTTTCCCATTACGAGGAAAGAAATCGAAAATGAAAATATAACTGCTTCCTCGCGCACTTCTTTTCACAAATTGATATTCCTAGGGTCGTAGGTCACTGACAATACTGTTCATGATGCTCTGTGTACATGGACTGCACAAACAACTTTTACAGTTTTTTTCTCTATATGGCAGAACGTAAATGTTTGCGCTCCCTTGATATGCGATATGGGTGTAAAACACCGACTCACTTGTCACATGCGCTAATCAAACTTGGTTTCGCAGAAGTGAGATCCTCCTCTCCGCTAAACATTGCAAGCCGTTGGAAGCAGATTCCGAGAGGTAACTACACTCAATAGATGCATTATGTATGGTTTGTTCTTTACTTGATGTTACAATTGAAACAGGTATATGCTTTACATATCTTTGTTAATTTCCCAAACCTTTGAGCAACTAACGTCAATAAAGCAATTTGAATTGAACTTGACCTACGAAAACTAATGTACAATGAAAACAAATATCGAAACGATGACAGCTGTTTTGAGAAATCAGCACTCTCATTAACTGTAGAGTTCGCATCAATCGTTAAGACAATTTTCATGGACTTCAAATTTGCGGGCTAAGGTTATTATAACTCGCACGAACAGACGGAAATGATAATGTGCATTAGGCCAAACAAATAGTATTATTCGCTCGCCGGTTTCCTTTCATCGCAGACCACTGTGCGTGACGTTCTCTTGCCTCGTTCTCGCCACCACATTTGATTCACGTGACTTCCGCGTCTCCTGTCATTCTGTTGCCCTCTCCCCCTCAGAGTTCGCCCCTTGCTCTCCGGCTGCCCTCTTAAATGACTGCCATCCTCACCACCACGCTACCCGATGTTTGCCCCCTCGCTTTATCTGATATTGCATCAGAGACTGTAAAAAGTCCCTGATGAGCCAGATAAAAGACAGGAGATTTATTTCACTAAATCTGTATGCGGAAATGGGCTTTTATAAGTAATTATTTGTTCAACGACCGGTTTTGGGGGGTACCTTTTCATCATTCACTAGTATTACACCTATTAATGAGAGTGCTATGGTGGTTCGATGAGTGTATCTAGAAAATGTAATTATTTCTCGTAGTTGACTGTAATATTTACGAAAATGTGAAATAGATTTTTAATATTTTTCATCATGAAACTATTTGTGATGCCCTGTACATTCTGTACTCGTAGAACAACATGAACTTGTACTATATCATAGAAAAAAGCGTTTGGGAGAGGCGATTTGCCGATGCCACTGTCCTGTCCATAGGTTTGACAGGCCGATACGGCTGGGGACCGGCCAGCGGTGGCCCAGCCTCTCGGCCATGGGATAAGGCGTGCGTGTGGTAAGTTCGAAGGCAGCCTTTCACCGTATCCTGGTCTTCTGGTCGGCTTCCTCATCGTCACACATCAATAAATACTATGAAACTTGCACACAGTTACTGGCACAATCGCACAGTTATAATTTTTGTCCCGACCGGGAATCGAACTCGGTGTCGCGCCGTGGAAAGTAAGCACGGTAACCAACGAGCCACCGAGGGCATCACCGCAGTTTCTAATGAAATTGAAATCTGGCTTCTAAACCAGAGCTCCCGGATGCCCGTATCGTGTGGATTACAAACGACCAAGTTCGGTTGCCACCACGTCGCCTACCAGAGTCATAACAGCAAATGCAAAACGTTTCAACATAATCTCTCTAAAATTGAGATCTCATCATACCTGTCTAAAATAGACTCACTAGGGGGAAATGCTGTCATTTAATCATGGTAGAAAGAGCCGGATTTCTATTACTAGAGACCTCAAAGCAGATGTTTATTGAGCGCCCTTTTCACTATGCTAATGAACATAATAAAGGTAGAAACCAACATTGACTGACTCAATTACTACTTACCTATGTTATCAGTCGCTTACCAAGCCATTTCAATACCCGGAGAACACCAATTGGTGGGGGAATTGTTAGAGTCAACGGCGGATCCCAGAAAAAAACGATATAATTAAAGGGAAATGCCTGTATTACTAATTTCCAATGTGCGCAGGAATTAAAGAAAACTAAGCTATCTATTTTCATGAGGTTGTCTATTGTTTCGTTGTAACATATGATAAACACAATTTCTGAACACCATATTTGGCAGCACGATGGAAAACCGCCCAAGTTGGCATGTGGAGTCAACGCGACTTCTCACCTTAAAGAGTAGTGTAGCCAAGGGTCGTCTCCATGGTCTCACTAGGCGGACTGCGATGCCAGCCGCGTGTCTACAGGAGGATCCGCGCAAACACGTTGATATCGGTTGTTTTCCTCACGGTCGCTAGAGCAAGAAATTCTTATTGGTCTTGGCCAAGAATTAAGGCACATTTTTTAAAAATAGGAAATGCCAAATGCCGAAATGATCCCCCCCCCACAAAAAAATGCCTCAGTAGCATTCATCGTTGCCATAGTTGGCAGTCAATGCGTTAACCCGTTAGAATACGAATGTTGAAATTTTTATTGTATGATGTTGATGATGAGTATAATGTACTCATATCAAAAGTGAAGAGAAGAAAGTTAGTAATCTCAGTATCGCAAAACAACAAACAATACACCAGAAGTACTGTTTAATCGTTGAAGCAAATTTTACTTCATAGCTGTCAGGGCCCCGCTATACTAAGGCTCCTTAATGCTAGTAGTGGCTAAATTTTATCAGATTGTAAGACATTCGCTTACTGTAAAAAAACCAATACAATAAAAACACTCAGATTACGGCCATGCAAACGTCGGAACGGTAAATGCTGCAGTGCCAAGAGGTGATATGTCGACACATCACGACAGATATATCCATCTGTAAAAATATATGCTGATGAGTGAGGGGCGGATCTTAATGAAATGTCATTTTTTCACTTATGAATCATGACTTTTAGAATCGGCATTAATTTTATGTTATGACAGAAAGCAATGTCTCATTTTTATAAGTAATTTTCTTGTCGATTTCGACCAACAATTTTTTTTTCGTATTTTTAAAGCATTTTTGGCTGATTCATCGATTTTAATATATACTATTAAATACAATAATATAAAACACATAATATATATAATATATATTTATTGGTACGTGCTTCAGATAATATCAACGAGATGCAACAAATGTCCTCCATAGAATTCTTGACCAGCCTATTCCATTTCTTGGCTTAGAAATTGTGAAATCAGCAGTTGTAAGTAAATAATCTAAGGTTCCTGTGACGCCTATCAGCGCGATTGTCAGTTCAGTCGATTTCAAAATAACTAAAGACTGAGATTTCCTGTTAAAGAATTTTTCTAACCAAATCTTAGCAAGCTCAATTCACTTGAACGAAAGGAAGAAGCCTCGGTTAATCTGTCCAACGGCTAGAGTACCAGTAGTATCCAACGGCTAGAGTACGAGTAGTTCCTACATCTGAACTGGTTTTGATCAATTTTTTTACGTCAATTTCCTTTGCTTTTAGGACATGTTAAAGACATTACAGAAGCATTTTATTGATCATTTTTGGCGTTGTTTTAGGTCATCAAAATCCGCTCCTAATGACGAGTAAGTTTTACTCATTACTAGTATTCAAGAATTAGGAATCAATTAATACGTAAAATTACAAAACAAACCGGAAACGAAAATTCCTCACTGAAATAAGCGTTGCGAATACTTTTGGCGGTGCCTCAGTCTAGGACAACTCCCCCCC